TGAAGATGCATGAAAATTGGAGCGAAAACCCTTGGGAATAACTTTAGAATGAAGGCAACGACCGATGAAGTTTATGTGGCTACAAAACCTAGTTTTTGCGAAAGTGAGAATGGCTCAACGGAATGCTACATCTTTACTAATAGCGGGAAAAGGGAAAAGATAACTTACGATTTCCTGGCGTAGCTCCTTTATGAGTTTCTTGAGGCTTGGCATGGTCCGCTGTTCTGAATGCTGTGGATTGAAAAATGTTAAGACAAAAGTTAGTAGTAGCAGCAATCAAAATACAAATGAATAAAGTATAAAGGAAAAAATTTCGTAGTTTGAGTAGCCCAAAAATTTTATTGGAGTTATTTGAAGAAGAAACCTTGTTCTTTCGCCGGATTAACTTGATATAACCCCATGCCATGTACCAAGGTGCGATTTTACCCTTTCAATTTTGCCTTTTTTGTCCGCCAAAATGAGAAATATTGGAAAAAACCAAAAACTCCCCAAAAATTTAGATTGGAATGGAATCGAACTTCTTCTCATTAGGAACATATTTGGTCACATTTACTGTTTTGTTTATTTTCAAGCGACGTTCAAATAATGGTTGTCTAAACCTCGTGAAGCTGACGTAAGAACCACAAAATCGATTTGGCCGCCGTTCGCGAAAAATAAAAATGCAATTGAACTCAAATTTTTTTTTTTTTTTTGAAATAGTTCATCCAGACCTATATTCTGGCAAAGTTTGGGGATTTTCGATTTTTTTTATATTGCATACCTCAGGGCGATATTTACGGACTGCCGCTCTTAAGTAACACCTACTGCTAACTGTAATGTAATGAACTGTACCTTGGATGGGTTGAAGGCTGACATAATGCAACTCATCAATATGTCCAAGCACAAGTGGTTTGCTTTCGTCAACTGGACAATGCGGCGTAATGATTACATCATTGCTATGGGATAGATTGCTGACCACACGAATGCATGTTTTATAGCTGTTTGCTGCGGCATACAGAATCACGTGATCACCCCAAGTGCCATCTTGTTCCATGTGTGTTAGGTATTCAGTCCATGTTTGATGTCCATGAACAAAGTGAAACAGATCTGTCCCATCCGGCTGTAACGAAAATCAGTTCAAGAACCAGGATTGAATTGTTGACAGATATTTGATTGTGTAGAGTACGAATCGGGAGTTAATTATGGCAGAGTGGTATGAAACGACCTTCAATGAGTAACGTACTGAACGGAAATAACCATTGTGACTGAAAGGTTTTTCAAAACGTCCATGTCTGTTCCAAAGGCTTCGCAAACGCCAAAAAAAAAAGAGATCTATCAAGAAGAGAATGACTAGATAACTGTTATCCGTGAACTTTTTTGAAATTAACAAATAATGCATCGCTAAGTGGAAGTTGAGTGCCGAAAATATTCAGGAGCTTCCACTACTGGTAGCCAGCTCCTAGATGGAGTCTTCTCTCTCTCATGGCTAACGAATCTTGGCAACCCAGCCACGAGCCCCCACCCATGAAAGGGAAACAGGCACCAATGACACTGAATAAAAAGTGGAAACAGGAAGGCAACGGGTGGGGAAAACTGCCTAGGAACGTGCAAGTACACGCTCAAAGCACACGCAAGAACGCCTCAAACGAGGAGCACGTGGAATTCCAATGCGTGCGCATAAGCAAAAAACTTATGACTACTAGAGAACACTGATGCTTTTTGTTGTTAACTGCGTTAAATTGCGTTTAACTGCATTTAATAACAGCATCGGTAAGTAGAGGTTGAGTGCCTGAAACATCCAGGAGCTACCACGATTGGCAGCCAGCTCCTAGATGATGACTTCTCCCATGGCTGGCAAATCCTGGCGACCCAGCCATGAGCCCCAACACTAAGCCGGAAGACCTCCGAGCTGGACAGCTGTAGTTGCAGCTCCAATTCTAAAGCTGCGACCAGAGAACTTTTCAGAAATGCCTGCGGCCTGTAGTGTAGATTGTAAGAACAAAGATGGAAGGGCCCACAAAAGAGGATGGCCATCTTGATAGATAAATAGGGGACCCATACCTGGCCCTTGAAGGTGAAGGTAGTTTGTCAGAACCACGACAGGACAGAGTGATGAAAAATGGAACAGTCCTGCCTGAAAGGATCATTCTTTCCGCAGTTAATGAACACCCTGAAGCTTTGAGGATTTATTGAGGAATCTACTTGAAGATCTGCTACTGTCAGATGCGCAGTAGGGTCACTGTTAAGAAAGTGGATGGCCCCTCTAGTTTGTCTGGACAAACGAAGATACTCCGTTCCAGCCGAATGCACATATCCTGGTTGTTCTGACAAACAGATGAATTGAGGGGACCAAAAAATTCTCAAAGTTGAATAATTCAAAGACAAAATCTTCGATCAAACAATGCCTTATGACCATATCGACAGAAAAAAAATTACCAGTCTAAATAATAGCTAAAAAGTCGCAAAGACACACTCAAAGTCAGCAAGCTCTGTTTACATTTTCCGGTCGCAGTAGTCCCTGCACTTTTGAGAATTGCATTCTTCGTCACTCCAGCGCCAATTCCTTCGCTTTTAGTCTTAAATTTCAAGTGTTCGTGGAATATATAGTTTTCGTTTAAACTCCAAAAGGTCTACCTAAATCGGTATGGAACAGAATTTTTAACACAATGCTATGCGATTTCATAGCCAAGAAGTTATGTAACCAATGATGGAGAATATAATTATCTCCCGGGTCTCGTAAATGCAAGAAATGCGTTCGTTTTTGCTTCAGATCGGTCTGTTTTAGCACTTTTTTCAAAATAGGGATATTTCTTGGTTATTTTTCCTTGCATTTTATAATTTTGGTCAGGAAGACATATTGTACAGTTTGTATTCTCATGAGTTTATAATCCCTTGCTTTGGCAAAAAGCGATAGTCTGATAATCCGACAAATCGGCATATTGGCATCTTGTATGTTTATTCCTGGGAAAAATCTATGGGAGTAAAGTTATCGATTGACTCCCATTGAAAATCGGACAAAGGTAAAAGAGCAGGCGGGATTGTATATCGCAACTGTTGTGGAAACTAAAGATGTCATGAACGAAACGTTGCCGCGAAATGTAAAATGTAAAGATTTTCTTCAATTTAGGTCACTCAAAGGATATCTTCGGTTAGCATGCTCTCCTCAGCCCATCATAGAGCGAGAGAAGGTTTCAAGCGTAAAAATTAAGCATTTTTGAAGCTTTTTGAGACTCTACAACAAAAAAAAGATCGAAGCTGTGTGAAACGGAATGGAACGGTAGGTGTAAGAATTTATTACGAACTTTAGCCCAAACCAACGCATTAGGAGCAAAGGGTTTTCGTTAAAATTCTGTACCTTTAGGGATGTCCACGGTCATTTTCACGTTCCCACATAGATAAATGATTACCTCGACCCATCGTTAAAAAAGCTAAAAGATTTGCAAACAGAAAAAATCCAAATGACTTTTCGAAACTTTTGGACTCTGCATCTCACGCAACAACGACAAAGATAGAGGCCGCAGGAAGCAACATGCCCCTTGAGCGACTTGGTACTGGCTCGGCCAGTCCCGGCATTCATTCCGACCCTAGAATTAGCGAAGTCAAGTATTCCAAAGATTCCAGCAGACACCTTATTCCAAAATGGCCGCCACCCGTTAAAAATTGGGGCCAGTTACACGGAAACGAAGTTGAGGGGGCCAAATGTGTTTTCGCACGCTAAACAAAATGCCGGAAGTACCGAAGTGCACTAAAAAGGTTGATCGGGAGGAAGACTTGAATATATCTTTTAACAAATCTCCCATAAATAATAACTTATTAGTTGCATGGATTCAAGCTTTTCGAAGAGATGTTGGTCGCCTCTTCACGATCACTTCACACACCAGGGTTTGCTCGAAACACTTCAAGGAATCCAGAATACACTTGTCGGCTGGAGAGCTGTTTGTCCTACAGCTCTTCCTTCCAGTTAACCGTGGAGAGGAGGTTCTCCTAAGAACCCAAAGCCACCAAAACCCTGGTATGTAGTCACTAATGCGGTGTCTAAGAGTTTCCAAAGAAGAGTTCGAATTAAATGATACCAGCTAAAATGTTGACAGGGCACTCGAAGTCCTCAAGGTCAATGGAAATTTTCAAGAGTAGAGCACGTCCCAAGGAGAAAGCTCGTCTGTACTGAAAAGGAAAATCGAGGAGGTGAGTAATAAAGAGGATAGAACAGCCCAGTAGAAAACATGTCTGAACTGAAAAGACAAAACGAGAAGCTGAAAAACACACTTCAAGAACTAAAGGAGAAAACAAATGCTCTGGTCATTGAACTGAATGAAATGAAACAACTTTTCACATGAAGACACGGTACAACGACTTGGAGAAGAAATATTCCTCCATGAATCGGTTAAGAAATTGTCAGTCTATATCTCAAGCTACAATAAGCAGGATGATAATAACCCAGGTTAACCTTTTATATATAACACATCCCCATTTAAAACTGTACTTCACCATTTAAAAATGTACTTGACATTTGAGGTATCTTACTTCCTGAATGAGCCACTCAGACCTCAAATGCATTTTTGATGAGTTCTCTGGGAACTAAGTTCCTCTGTCAACCAATCAGATTTGGTTTGCAAAATGGACTTTGCTCTTTAGGAACTAAGTTCCTCAATAAACCAATGACATGGAAGAATACATGGCATGACATTTCTAAATTAAGGTTTGCCTATTTTATTTATGTCAACACTAAATAGAGCAGACAACGATGTTACACTTTGGAAATGAGTCGAATACACGATGGTCTACACGGCAACGAAAAGGCATCTGATACTATAGAATTCTGTAAAAAATGCCACAACGGTTTTGCCGCGCTTTTTACCAGCGCTAATACATAATCTTATTATAAGTTTTCTTGTGTAGTATCGCTAAGTATTTTTACAAGTTGTACCGTAATTTGACGAGCCCGCAGGGCGTGTGAAAATACAAAAAAGGAGTAAAAATACTCAGCGATACTATGCAAAAAAACGGCTAATAAGTTATTT